GCACAGGGTGTCAGGGCTGGGAGGGCCCTTAGGGCACAGGGTGTCAGAACTAGGAGGGACTCTGAGAAAAGGAGACCCTAGGTTCCAGAGCACCAGCTCTCCCATTGTCAGCTGGAAAAACTGATGTGACCTTAGCCTGCATTCAGCTTAAAGGACACACTGCTTTTGGGAAGTGCGACTCTCTCACTGTTTTCTACCATACTCAGACCATGCCTGGAATACTTTGGTTAGTCTGGGCACCCTGTATTGGGAAGGATATTGATGCTGAAGAGTAACCAGAGAAGGACCACCAGGATTGTGAGGGGGCTCACGATGCCATACAACAATTTCTGAACCAGTTAGGCGAGTTTAGCATGGGGGACGAGTAGAGTCAGGGCAGAGTCATGATAATAATATAATCATCAAAGATGCTCATGTCGTGTTAGAAGGTTGGCCAAGCCCTTCATGTGTATCATCTCCCTAGACCCTGCCAACAACCCTATGAGATAGATGCTGTTGTTTCCCCCATTTTACAGATGAGGAAACTGAGGTTGAGAAAAGTGACGTGGCCTACCCAGTTAGTAGTAATAATAATAGCAGCTAACATATCCATATCGTGCTTGCTATGTTCCAGGTGCTGTGCTGAGACCTTCACAAACATTTCATTTGATCCCTGCTATGGGCTAGCCGCTTTACAAATACAAAGTCACTTAAGCTTTCTGCCTCAGTTTCTTTATCTTTAAAATGGGGATAATAATAGCTCTTACCTCCCAGAATTGTTGTGAAGATGAAATGAGATAATATTTGCAAAGTACTTTGCAACTTAAAGATATTATGTAAGTGTGAGCTTTTATCATAATTTTCCAAAGTTACCTTACATCTACTGTGTCTACAGCATGTTTGCTTGTTGTCTGCCCCGTTAGACTATAAGCTCCTTGAGTGCAGGCACTGTCTTTCACCTTTTTTGTATCCTCAGCACTTAGCACAGTGCGGCACACAGTAGGTGCCTAATAAATGTTTGTTGATTGATTGAAGGAGTTTACACTCTGTTAGACGAAAACAACATGAATGTGGATAAGTAAAGACAAAGAGTGAAACATGCCTGCCCTCCAGGAGTTTACACTATCAACTAGGGCTCGTGCTCTGTAGGAATTTCCATTTGGCCTATACAGGTCCATGACCATCTTAGCTTGGAAGAAACTCCACCATGACAGGCCCTTTTTCAGAGCCCTTCTTCCAGCCCCCAGACAGGGCGACCACTGGTGGCTTTGTGATCACAGGCCCAGCTTTATAATTCTACACACACAGTCCTCCTCAGAAATGTGTGATTTCCCTCATGTGAGCGTCCCCTCTGCCGACACAGACCCCACTGTTCTGGGCCATGGCAGTCTCTCCCTATGAGTTGTGGGGCTAACAAGGATCTTCCCTTGATCGGCAAGCACTGGTCAAAGAGCCTCTGGGCCAGTCCTTGGATACTTAGTCCACACTCAGTCCATCTCCATCCCTAGACTCTTGGCTTGCTGTCTACTGGCATAGACTTGGTCAACCCAGGGTCGTCTCCACGTAACAGTGAGGCATAGGAGGACTTTTAATAGACAGTCGTGCTCCTATTGACTTGTCAGGGAAATGGGCGCTGATTTGAAGTGGGGACCTGGGTTCAAATTCTGACTGCTGCTTCTGTCTGAGCTGTGCCTGTTCCTAGGGCAGCAGGACCCACTGGGGGAGAGGGCACAGAATCTCCCTGCCCGTGTACCTGCTCATGGGATTGACCCTGACTGACCCAGCCCCCTGACCCCCTCTCCCCGTTCTGCAGGCCCTGTCTCTGAAGGAATCAGAGAAGACGGCTCTGTCCGAGAAGCTTTTGGGCACCCAGCAGAGCCTGGCCACCATATCCATGGACTTGGAGAGGCAGAAGCGCGATGCCTTGACCCGTCAGGAACAGGACCGGGTAGGTGGCACAGCAGGGGCTCGGTCCAGCGTCTTGGCGCCCCGACTCCGAGGTCCTTGCTCAGCCTCAGGCTCTGGGTCCCAAGATAAGCCCCAGGGGTCTTTGGGGAAGAATGTCTGTTAGTCTTCTCAGGCAGGTGGCACAAGGGTCTCCCAGGCTGGTGGGGAAGTTATGGCTCCTGTCCTCAGGGAGCCCTCTGAGTGGGCATACACAGCCTCCAAGGCACTACACACACACACATACACACACAGAGACACACACACACACAC